TCTCTTTCCATCTCGAGCGCTCTTCCGGATTTATTCCAGAGCTTGCGTCGCAGTAGGTGCAACGACCGTCTTCAGTGCGCGTTCCGTAAACAGTGAATTCCCGTCTAGACACGATTCAGGCCTCGAATTTCGGTCACTCTTTCGCCTATCTTACGGACTATTTAGCTTCTAACGAGAATAATTAAACTCCTATTCTAACCTTTTTCCTCCCTTCAATCTCTCTGTCCGTGCAACAGTGTATTTACATACTGCTAGTACTTTCTAGTGATTTTCTTCGTAATCGGTATATGGAATGTTCCACAATTTTTCAAGGCGAATAATCGAAAATCGATTTCGAACGAATCCTTTTTTATTTTTTTTTATTATTTTATTTTTTATTTGTCATTTTGAAGCCTCGATTATCAGAGATGTTTGTCTGCGAGATTCCATAGTGACTATGAGAAGAAACGGTATTACCCTAGGACAGACGCGAGAGTTCGATTGTTCCGGTTCTAGGGGAAACTTAGGAATGAGGTTCTTGGGCACGCGCAACGAAGTTTGTTTGGAAGAAAAGCGCGTTCGTCGTCGGGTGGAAAACGCGCCAAGGGAGGAAAGATTTTCCATAAATTCACACGGGCTCGTGTCTCTGTTTCATTCGTCTTCCACTACTCCGAACTGTCGACCAAGTTCCCGACAAAAGTGTGAAACAGATATTCCTTCGCCTGCGATTGTGGCGCACGATGACTTCCGTCTTCCGGGCTTCAAGATGGACGACACGTTTCTGCTTTTTCTTTCCAAGTTCTACTTCCTTTTTACCGTCCTCCTTCGATGATTCTTAAACGATCCTACTTTTTCGGTCGAGTATAATGTTCCAGTATTTTCGCGATTTTTTTTTATTAAATTTTAGAATGCAATTTCATTCGTCATATAATAAGGTGCATTGTATGTGATTTTCAGCGTTTTTCGAGTAAATTCAAAGTAATATATCTCGATAAAAAAGAGAATCGTACGAAGGGAAGAGTATACAGAGAAGGAATAAAATGCATTTTTGCAGAAGATAGATTCTATCTGGAAATTGGAAAAAATGGGAAACGTTGGACGGCAATGTCTTCGTTTTAAATTTCAAAAGCATTGTATTCCACTCCGCTTTGTTCACGTCGCTTTAGCAATTATTTTTAAAACGCATTGTTCGAAACAATCGAAATGAACGTAGCGTCTCTCTGTTTTTAATATTTATCCCCGATTTTGAAATAACACTCGTAAACATGCAGCCGCATGGAGAATATTCGTTGCAATTTAATAAATTAAATTCCACTTTATTATCAACCGACGTAATAACCTAATAAATTAACGAATGAAAATCCTTCTCTTCCCGTTTTAATTCATAACACTTCGACTAATATCCTGATTTATATCTCTCTACCGTTACTCGCGAGAGCTTGCAGAATATATAATCAAAAATAAAATTAAAAGTAACTTATTAATTACGCTATAGAAAAATCTCAATGGCTCGCTTCTTCTTACTAAAATTGATAATCTAATTATCAACATGTAATGTGTACCTATCACCTAAACATGGTATTCAATATTCATTCCAATTAAATATTCATAATTATGAATACGAAATAAATCATTCTTCGACCGCCGTGGTAGTTCTAGTTTCAAAAAATGGCCGACGTTTGTTACATTACTACTCTCGAGTGACTACTTCCAGCGTTGGACCCCACGTAAATAATTCCAAGTTACCATTATCCAAAACTCTTCCAGAAAATCACCTAATATACGATTTTATCACGCGATGTAGATGCAGCTCGCGCAAAAATGTCGCCAAAATGGCGGCCGCGTGTCGGAATATGGAGGTTCTCGGTTCTCGCGTAAAATCACAGGCGTCGAGAATTATAGGCGAAGTTTATCGATGTCGCGTAAATAATGAATGCAATATGTACATACACGGGTCGATGTAGCGGGTTTTACGGGGTGGCACGCGAGCCACGAGGGTGGTTGACCCCGCGGTGCCATGCAGGCCTTTGAGTAACACGACAGAAAAATCAAATTTTCCGTCAGCCACGTTCGTCGAGCGATACTCTTGCACCTTTGAAGCGACCCCGGGTCTCCACGCAAAACGGAATACGCAATTGCGCGTTTCGGGGCACGCTCATCCGTCGGACGGAATGAACGTTTAATGGAATAACGACGATAGAAGTCATTACATAAAATGGTAATGATGACACGGTCTATCTCTGTCGCTTCACGGTGTTGATGCAGTTCGTGCAGGATGAATCTATCGCGCGAGGCCATTAAGGAACAACCCCCGGCAGTAATGTACGGCTACTTTGTCACTCCTTCGATTTTTCCGTCCTCTAATTTCTAACCATGTTATATTCCTTTGAAGACGGAGAGTCTGGTCTATTAGGCGGAAGAATGAATTCCCTTATCTTCGGCGAATTTGAAAGTGTAAAAAGGGAGGAACATCAACCGGTGATGGAATAAAATTACGAGTACCATCTTCTGTGTTCCACGATAATAGGAATTCCGTAATAATTCCGTCTTACAGTAATTCGTAGTAACGCGTGTACATGAAACTGATTGTGAGGTTGAAAATGCGTAATAAAGTTTCTTCGTACGGGACTTCATCTGATAGGAGAAAATTGAATTTGAAGATAGTCGAGTATACGTATATTTAGGTAGAATCATTTAAGCATGATGGTTCACATCGGCTTTGCTTAACGTTTGTTAGCAATTATTTAATAATGATAATTTTAATGAATTATTGGTAAAACATAAGTCTCTGTAATCGATTTATTTTTGAGCGGTAATTTACAAATATCGATTGATGAAGGTAAACTGAACGCGATGAATTTAACTCGTTAACATGGGATGACGAGTTAACTCGTCGTTGAAAAATGCTTCTTTAGAGCTCATGACTGGTTAAATCGTCATTAACACCTTCATCTACAATATCGTGTGAGAGTCGTGATAAGTAGGTCGGGTCGAACATGACTATCACGTGTGAGAGACGTGGTTTGTAGATAAGTCCCAACTTAAACATTACGGGTCAGGCTCGTGGTTAATTTTTGCCGATGTTCTTCCGTCTCAACTTGTCGATTCTCAACTTGTCAATTTCGTGTTATTTTTCGCCACACTCGCACGAGTATGCTGTTGATTATGGCACGCGCCATCGGAACTTAAAACGGTAGGTCAAGGTGTCAAAAGGTGCTTCTCCAACACGCGTGACGAATTAACTGGTTAGAAAATACTTCTCCGATATTCGTGTCGAAGGAAATTAAAAACGGAAAACGAAAGGAAAAGTATAACATTTACTTATGATGCTCGTTCCAATCAGCATTCTAGAGCGCGTGAACTCGCTATGATTCACTGCACGTGAGTCACTGTACACGTCGGCGACAATCTTCGCGAGACACGCGGGTCTGCTATCACCTTCGACATCCTTGCTGGCAGTTAATTAGCGCGAACAAGAGCAACAAACCGACTCTGTTCTATAGCGCCGCTTCGCTAATAATATGCTCCGATCAAGCGTAACCGGTGGTCCGATTAGCGGACGCGATCCGTCGGCGATCGGCCGCGATTCGGTTCAACGTTCGCGTTATCGAGCAGGGAAATTAAGGAAACGTTAGGTCTAGCCGTTGGTGTCCGCGTGGTTACTGGAAATATCCGCTCCCGTCGCCTTCCTTTTGCCGTCGACACGTTCGTGTCCTCTGCTGTAATACCTCGTGTTCTGCCGCGATATATCGGACCAACTATTGGAATTTTTGTCCGTTCGGTAAAGTCGAGTTTTAACCTTAATTAATGGTACCGGTCGCACGAACGGCCAACCTACGAATAAGAATTAATTAGAAAGTGGCTGCAAACTTCTCCGATCATCGGGCGTGTAGCCATTAGTGTTCGCGGGGAATTTTGGAAAGTGAAAAAGGAGAGGCGCAGATAAAACTAGGGGAAACATAGGGAAAAATAGGGAAAAATAGGGAAGCGGAGAAGAAGGAGAAGGATACAAGGGGGAAAAGGGAAGAAAAGAGTATCGCGATGGTTTTAGATTTAATTAAGCCTCGAGATTTCCGGATACGCCGAAAGAAACACGAGTCGGACGTTAATTGGTAGAAAATAAATAAGAGGAAACGGGATGATGCGAGGGAAAAACCGAAACGAGACGAAGATGAAGACGAGAATGAGATAAGGAGGTGGCGTACGCGAACGGTTTCATTAAAGATGCACGCCGATAACTAACGTTTAACTTTAATTAACAGAGCCTCGGGATACTTGGAAGTATCCCTGCAGCCTGGTTAATCCTGACGTTGCTGGTGCTCCTGGTCTACCTGGTAACGAGATGCTGCGACCGGAAGCCGCGCCCCAGGAGGTCGATAACCCTGCTGAAGTGTTCGCTGGCCATCCTGGCGTTGCTCTGTAGCGGAGCTGTTGCCGTCGGCCTCTACGGTAACGACGACGTGCACAACGGTTTGGTGCAATTGGTGGCCGCTGCTAAGAACGTCGATGGTATTCTCATGGGTGTACGGAATCAGGTTGGTTTGCTTCTACGAGATATGTCCATCTATCCTGATCACTCTGACCTGCACTTCTAATTAGATACGCTTTAGAGGGAACATCTTTATGTATCTTGTTCGAGATACGTATACTGGTTAACACTAAACCTATCACGATCGGTCAAATGACTTCAAAGAACGTGGAATGAATGAAAATATTGCGAAAGTGATGATATTTACAGTAACGATTTCACGAAGAAACGTTTCGCTAGCCTTAAGACGATTTCCCGCTTAACTCACTAGCGCCACCACGGATCGTATCTCCTACTAGTATATGTTTTGCCGCAAATATCGTATGCGTTTTACCGAGGTAATCTTGGAATATTCTTGCTACCTGTGTCACATCGTTTGCACGATATTTTCATCAATTTTTCTACCGTACTCGTGATAGGGTTGAAAGAAAAATGGAGGAGTCCAAGACGATAACGTCAAATTCAGAATGTGGTATCACATTTAGGCTGTGATAGGTAAGAATAATGGGTGTTTCGAATTAATTGGTAGTTGGGAAATCCTTTTTGCGAATGAAAGTGTGCATGGAAGTTTCAGGTATTAATTTTGCACCGTAACGATGAGTCTAGGTCTTTCTAACAGCTTTTCCATATCGAATCACGCCATTTTTCATACCGAAGCAATGAATTGCATGGAGCAGAGAGTAGAAATTTACTTTAAATATAGAAAATTGATTATCAACCGAATTCTTTTGGCGTTGAAATTCTGAAACGTTGAGCCGATGGAGTTTATCGCTTCGGTTTGCGAATGGCTGGCGTAAAATTATTATACTTGGCATGTTTCAGCGTGCGCGAGATTCGTGCAAATCCCGAAAGGTTTTACAAGGTTTTGCAGAGAGTAGACGATCGATGATCGTAAATCTTCGTCCTGTCCGTGTTCAGTAGTCAGTGCACTCCTTGAACGGGACGCCTCGTCTACTTCACCTTCCTTATTACTACTTGTTTCTCCCGTACATTCGTGTTTACACTTTTAATCGCGAAGAGCAGAGCCGCAACTTGCTCATAATTAGTTCGCGGTCTAGTTTTTTTACGTTTAAATGTGCCTTGACTCGCGTTCTTAATTCGGGTCAAGAATAGCGAGGAGTATACGGACAGCCGTGATGGAAATAAGCCCGAAAGAAGAGAGACCCCGTCTCGTGATAAATAATCCGATTCCCAGCCGCCAAGGAGATTCCATTTTTTAATTAAAGATTTTTATCTGCAGACTTAATTTAACCGAATCGCCGTTAGGCGGGATTAATTTCGTATTTCGAGAGCTCGAGAGGCAAATTAGCACTTATATACTAAAGTTATTGACTCAGAGAATCGTAGAATCGTTGAAGCAATTACTTAAATTACTTACTCGGTAATGGAAGAGTTCACAAAAAAAATTAAGAGATTAAACAATTTTTAAATTAAAAAATTCGTTTATTCCTAATTAGCATTACCACGATTCGAAATCGATAGATTTAAAAAGTAATAATCTTTTAAATTTGCCTATTCCGAATTAGGATTACGAATATATAGTAGACTCTCACGTGTATTTACACGAAGTGTACCTGGACTCGAAATTGATATTTCAAAATTACCCTAATATTGGATAACGTTCCACCTAATACTAAAAGTACTACACGAATATATTGTTATCAAATTCTATTTATTTCTCGTATATTCTCCTCTGAAATTATCCTTTTAATTACACCTGTCCAATGAATATCATTTTGACGCATGTCTTCACACGAATGGTATTTTCTTTTCAAGACCAACACCATCGAGATGACATTGAAGGAGAAGGTGCAGCCGCAGTTGACTGCCTTGGGGGACGATTTCGATGCCCCCGTCAGCAATAAAACCATGCTTGGCCTGCTGTTGGCCGCTCTGCAGAGCGTGAAGCACAGCACGAACATCGCCATGAACCGGAGCTTCGAAATTCGAAAACCGCTGAGCGGAATCAGCCTAGCCGGTGCGATCGGCATAGGAGAGAAGATAGAGCAATTAAGGTGGCCTGTCACTATGGCCGTTCTCAGCGCGCTTCTCGTTCTCTGCGTGGTGCTGGTCGTCGGAGTTGCGCGACATTCCAGATGCGTTCTCATAACGTACGTCTTTCTTTTGTATCGGCCGCAAAAACCGTGCGAAAAGGAGGTTCTGCCGTCCAACTGGATTCAACTCTCCTAAATTACTGCGTTTTTGCTCTGTCTTGTGAACGGGGAGGGTGACGATCTTGGATCGGTACATTTCACGAACGGTTTAAACACGTCGAGCTTGGTATACGTAGCCATTTGTAAAAGTCACGAGTGAAACGTTTACAATTGGTCTTGCTTGGAACATGGTTTCCAAATTCTTGCGAATTTTGCAACGAAAAATTAGAGAGATATGCGATCTGTTTTGGTGTTACTATCTATAATCTGTAATGTAGAATTGAATTCAACTCTGTATATTTGTGTTCTGTATACCTTGCTTTGCACAGAATTACCGAATAAGCCTATGACTAATTTAGTCAGTTAATTTTTCGCGTGGAGAGAATAAAATGTAAACGAAAATGTAATCCTTTCAAATGTTATAATTAACGAAGTCAATGTAACTTTCTCTATTTCATTGATGCTTCTTCTTTGTTAATAGAGTTAGAGTTAATATAGTTTCCTTGCTACGCGTGTCTTTAAAAGGCTTAGGATCTCTAGATTTTAGGATTTATAAATAGCTCTAGATTAGTGTTAATCATTTGATAGTCATTTGATTCGGAATGCTTGTTTCAGATTCTCCGTGTTTGGTCTATTTGCTGTGATAGTCTCCTGGCTGATGGCTTCACTGTATCTCGCAACTTCAGTGGCCTTAGGTGATCTCTGCGTGTCTCCAGACGGTTACTTAACCAGAGCGGTACCGTCCACTCTAGCCTCCGAGGTTCTTTCATATTACACACATTGCGAGAACACGCGCAGTAATCCATTTAGTCAGAAATTAAGCGACGGTCAAATCGCGGCCAGTAACATGAGGGAGAATATGAACACGGTGACCAGGTTGGCACTGGAACTGTTCAAGGATCTGCAGTTGCAATCAAAGCTGAACAATCTTTCAAACGACGTGAACACGGTGAACAAACTCATGTCGGGCTTGACCACGTTACTTGATTGCAAACCTCTTCACAAGCAATACATTCATGCCGCAAAAAGCTTATGTCATTTAGGATTGTGAGTATTACCTCATTTTTCATCCTTTTGCATGTTTGAAAGAGATATATAAAATCACATAAAAGTAAAAAAATAAAAGCAACCGAAGATTTATAATTCCTGTAGAAATACTTTATGACAAAGCAGTTAGTATCGTATACTTTTATGTTGCGTTATTATACAGTATTTTCTCTCTATGGGGCGATTAATAGCAAAAGGTTAAAGCATCTCATTAACTGTCAAAGGTGTAATTAAAGAGATACTTAAATACCGTTGAAATTCTTCAGGTACGGATTAACATTCATGCTGTTGGCGAGCCTAACCGCGGGACTGTTCTTCACAGTGCTAGTTTGGGTGGACTCTCACACTTGGATCTATATTCGAAAGCGGTGAGTGTGCATGTTTAGCGTGCCTAGAAGATGTAACGCACAGAGTATGATTAACGAGGACTTTGTTCTAGAAGAGATTACCATCAAGTCGACGAACAGGACCCGTATCTACCGCCATCGGCAGCTTCGCAGGCGATAGCAGCGCGGACCCTTCGAGGCCAAGGGTCGTACCCGCCTACAGCCCCTTCTGTATTTTATCCGAATGCTCATGGCACTCAAAATACCATTAAGCAGCCTCTCTTGCTAACGCCGCCCCCGCCGTCCTACGCTACTGCGACTGCTCGAGCACGTCAGCTGCACGAGAGCATGCTAAAGTTTGTGCATGAGATTTTATTCGGTTTTATTTACCAGCTATCGTTCACTTTTATCGTACAAAAATTAGATAAACGTGAACTGTTTGGTTGCCCAATAGGCGTTGACTCAAAAAGAAGTACTGCTTACGAGCAACTGTTAGCGTGGCAGTTAGTATACTATGGTTTCGAGTTAATTTGAAAGGAAATAAACTCGAATAATTCCAGAATTTGCTCTCAGTTTCATATAATAATGTAATTACGGATAGATGAAATAGCATTTTGATACGATAAAGGTTGGACAGTAAACAGTTACGTTAACTGTGACAGTTTCTCAAACTAATTTTATGCTGCCACTTAAAGATGGATTCATTTTTGTGACGAATGTTCTGCATAATTGCTCAAGAAACATGGTTTTACTAACAAAGATTGATACAGAATTTCCATAACTGCCATCAAATTGAAAACTTGATGTGAGAATCGTAAGATTTTAAATGAATTATAAAGTTGCTAATTGTTTTGTATTAACGAAGATGTAGACGTTACATCAAATCTTTATTTTAAACGTTCGCTTTATATATAGACAATGTATTTTTTACTCGATTTTATAAGGTGTATTGATTTTTCATTTTTACCAGTGTGTTGAATCAGTTCAGTTTACGATTTACAATGACTTGTTTATGTCGTTAGACTCTGTGTTAGGTCTGAATGTTGCTTTAATTGTTTACAACACTCTGGTGGCAACAACGCAAACATTATAGTACAGTTATTGATCTTTCGGCTATAAACGTGAGACCATTTTATATTCTTAAAAATAAATCAGTCGTGACTAACGATCGATCTTTTTTACAAGACAATAACTGTACAATCGTTTGATTCTCTTTGGTGTTCTTACAGCATCCTGGCAATTCAAAATTTTTTCGATATTCATAGATATACTTTTTAAATTTTTCAATTACTCTTTCTAATCGATGTTTAAAGCAAAAAACAAAATTTGTATTTTCTCTTTTCTATCTATGAAAATATTAGCGATAGTTATGCTTCTGCGCGTGTTTTTCTTTTCTATAGCGTTCGTGTCTAGATTGTTATACGAGATGAAGAGTTTTCTCGATAGGAACTAGACATCAGAGAATCGTCCGAGAGAAAGATAATGCTGCAACTTTGTTCGTTTCGATTTGCTATTTACAGAGGTGGGGGTATTAATGGCAGCGGAGGAGGCGGGGATCACAAATCGTCTCAGCATAATCAGCAATCGACAGGTGGACGAGCTGAGCACCGTTCTGGGCTCGGAGATCAACCTGGCCAGTACGCGACTTTGAACAAGCAGTGCAAGACCCTCGAGTCAAGCGATTTTTACTGAGGGCACGCCCCCGCAGGGCCCGGTAATTTCAATTTTATTCTTTGATAAAAATGTTAATACACCTTGTCTGTGTCTGACTTCAAATTTTAATCTTACGTTGATATTACAGGTAGGGAACCACCTTGGACACCAAGCGTGGCGTCCTTTACCGGTACCCTGTCTCACAATTCTCATGGACCTGCTCATTTGGCCACTTTCCAAGATTCTCGCAAGACACAGACCTTAGATCCTAAGAATCTAGCAAATCTAAAAAGAGGTCCGACTCCGGCTTGGAATCAGAATCGTCCGTTGCCACCAAATCCCAGTAGTCAACCAACTTGGGAGTTTGAGTCCCGTTCACAGACCAATATGAACCAATTTCGATCCCTGGTACGAAACAAGACACCAAATATTCGAATACAGGATCAGATGCAAGATCAGGTGCGAACATTAGACAGAAATTTTACCAGGAATCAATTCAATGGTACCACGCAGAATAACGCCGTACCAAATATGTACGGAACATATAATCGAGCTCAATCGAGACAAGAAAACAAATCAACGGTGGCAACGTTGAGCCAAGTACAGGGTAGCGATCCCAATTTGTACGCCGTAACGGAACTATAAAATCAAACGACACACCAAACGCAAGCAAACTGCCATTATCAAAAACATTGAAACACCAACAGATGGATGTTCGCTGAAACATATTCATCGAATGTTTACTGAAATTTAAGAATCGTCAAAGCACCGTGTTATCCAGGAAACTCATCTTGGAAGCATTCTACATTTTTAAACTATTTAAGTACGAACATGCGTATTTTAATATGCGCATTCTTATTTTATATGATAAACTTAAAGAAAAATGGCTCAATCGTTTGGTAACTTTTGATAAGAATCACGAACATTTATATACGTTTAAACGTAAGATTTTACACAGAGTCGTCATTTTGAGTACAATTGGTGGAGACTGCGAAACTAGAGTTTTCACCTATGTTTCCCGCAATGATGTTCAGAATTTTCGGGAAATGGAAACAAAAGCAAAGTAAGAGGAAGAGGAAAAACATGCATCTTTTACATCATAAACATTCGCACATTTAACATTTCTCATCAATTTCCCGAATGAAAAGGATGAAGGAATTGCAATTTGAACGTGATGATGGTTCGGTGAAGATAGTTGTGCAAGAGTGGCGATTTAATCGAGAAGGTCGACGAGTAGTGTGAGCAAGAAAAAACGGGGGCAAAAAGTCTTGGAATCAAGGAGTTCTCAAGTAGAACGATGTGTACCGCGTTGTAAAAAATCGCGTTGAAATCGAAAAACGGCGAAGAAAGGTATAGGGATTCATTTACATTGATAATCGAAATATATTTAGATTAATATTACTATATCGAATTTTTCTGTGGCAACTTCGAGAAATAATAGGATGACTTTTCTTCTTGTCGTTTACTCGTACAAAACAATGAATATTTAGACCTAGAAGGTCTTGTATATCTGAAGTTTTGTACTTGTATATCATGTACAGTGATTATTATTATTCAACGTTAGCTTATTCTGTAAATTATTATTGCTTCTTGACCGAGCAAACAAATGATACGTTACACAAGCAAGGAAGTTAGATCAAAATCGTCATTGTCATATTTATTGCTTGTTAAATATTCATTTTCATTAACAACACACGAGAAAGCACAAGTATATAGGTAACATAAATTAGTATGTATAAATCGCCTATGAAGAAGATGCCGAGTACGTATTTATCAGCCGTCTTTAAAGACGCTGAAAATTTGTTAGCTTTTGTTTTACGTTTGAACATTTAATATTCATGAAGATAGTTAATGTTGTTAATTTTTAACGTTATCGTGGCCTACTACTTTCTCTCTACCTTCTCTCAATCTTTCTAAGCTAGTTACATTGTTACTTGCCTATATAAAGTCATCTTATTCCCTAATGTTTTAGTTGTGTCACCTTCTAAATTAATATCGTACCAATTTAAAGCGGTGCAATTTTTGGAACAACTTTTTACAAGAATTATACGGCGATTATACCAAATCCAAACGATATTCCACGACACGATTTTTATATACTTTTTTATACTTTTAATCGAAGAAGCGCGAGACAAATTTATCATTAATTTATCGGTGAAGCATTTCAGTATGCATTTTACACGTTTGCGAAATATATACACATTGATATAAGAAGTTACCGCACGAAAACAAACAAGTGATATGAATATATATATATATATTATATATATGTATGTATGTTTATCACCGTTAATATTTAAAGTTTGTAGCGAAACAATGAATGTCGGTGAATTTTTATCGCAAGATGCATCACGATGAAAAGAAATGAGAAAAAGAACAATAACCATCGGAATTAAAGAGAAAAAATTATGATAAAAAGAAAGCAAAGAATTTTGCCAATACTCAGGCAAGCATACGTTTTTAAGTACAAACATGGTTCAAGCGCAAATGTTGTGTACATTAGGCCTTTTTTCATTTTTTATATGAAACAAAAGTTCTAGTATCATCTGATGTATCGATATGGAGTATCCAGAATGCATTTCGAAAGTGTATCCTTTGAAGTGATGCGCTGATAAATCAAGCTGTTTTTACGATATTCTCGAAGGATAGATTGATGAGAATACCAATGAATCGAAGTCCAGTGACAATTTAAATCATCAAATTTTGAAGAAGAAGGAATTTGTTGATGACTAAGATAAACTTGTTCGTTATTATTCATAAAAGGAATCTGTTTGGAAACAGAGGTTAGTATCGGCAAGTATAATGTGAGGTTATTTTTTCCAATATCTTTGCACACTACTATCATTCCACGATGATGGTATTCTCATCGACTACAACGAAATTTTCGTAGTATCAGTGTTTTTTCAGCCGAATTAAATAAAAGGGAAATCGAGATTGAATTATTTGCGGAGCGCAAAGTCTTCCTTATAACGGTTCCCTTGTGGAGGGATACCGAACGAGATCATTGGAGATCGATGAAGATATCTGCAACGAATCGGCGGACGGCTTTATATTCCGCATCCTATTCAGCGAGAACGTGTGTAAATAAACAGTAATATAATAAGCGTAAGATTGTCGAGGAAATTCGATAAAGAACAAAAAAAAAGGAAGAAAAATACCATTAAGAAGAAGTAAGAAGATGTACGTGTGATATAACTTGAATTTAGGTGTTACAAATTTTACACAGAGATAATATCGTTCTCCTCTACCGTTTTCGTTTCTCATCGTTTCTTTATTAGAAACAAGAAAGAAAAGGGAAATGAACGGCAATCTTCTTCGAAAGAGAGGTCACTATTCCTGAACAAACGTCTTATTATTCGTTTACGTTTTGGCGATATTATCACGAGGATTTAGAGGAGAAAATACGATTTTTCGTTCACTGTTCGCAACGAGCATGGAAACGGTGTAGGTAGAAAAAGCATGATTAGGTATAAACACGTTTGATCCATTGTACATAGTTGTAATATTTATTAAAATGAAAAAAAAATACAAGGAGCGATCATAGCGCATAGAATATAGCGACACATAGATATAGCCGTTAATTGATTGTAATCTTAAGATTGAATCGACGAACGAGATTGGAAACGAACTAGAGGGAGAGAGAGAGAGAAAGAGGGTATGTGTGAGCTTCGTGTTCTTGTATTTATCGA